GATTAATTCATCTATTTAATAATTTAGATAACATTTCAGGACTAAAGAAAGACCTGCAATAGGATCGGAAGATTTAGCTCTTGCATAATGTATGTTTAATTTTATATGAATGTATATGATATGATTCATATTCAATGTTAAAAACAAATATTGTAATTTCTAATCAATTACGTGAAATACGTGAACAGTCCAAATTCTACACGTTTTTTATGGTTACATATTGTCTTTTTTTTTAATTAGCCATTCTTTATTATGTTTTTCGTTGTTCATTACAAATGGCGCCCAAAATCATAGAAAACACGACCCATTACTGATTATGTTCATTGTGTTAAATATTGGATATTATTTCGTTTTGTTTTTTATAGTTCAAAACTTCGTTTTACTTGTCTTTACTACACTAGGATCTGGAAGAGTTGTTGTTTTGGTTGAAGTGAGGGATTAGCCAATGAACCAGTCTGTTACGGCGATTTCTTTGTGTTTGATGCACGTAACTGTGGGTAAACCTCCGGGATAGCGAGCTAACGTCTTACGGAGCCAACGTGACCTCCTGCAGAGTATATAAATGCCGGGTGTAATATTAAAGGGCCAATCCCGATAATATTTTGGAGAATAAAACTGCTTAAAGGCTCAATACCACTCTTGTTGTAACTGAATAATATGTCCCAATCTTTATTCTGGTCAACAAATTGTACTATTTTACAATATTCCACTTAATTGATGATACAAATTTCATCTTAACACACCTAATTTAAAAAATTAGAAAAATTCAACTAAATGATTTGAAAAGCGTGACGTAAAGCTTTTCATATGTGACTTGGATTTAAAAATATTTTTGAACCCTCTGGACAAGTAAAATAGGATTTAATGGATAATTTACACAACAGGTAGGACACTAACACATCTGGTACTTAGAATAAGGCTATTTTTTTATTTTCTGGAGCTGTCAAGCCAGCAAGAGTGTTATTGTCCCTTTAACTCTGTGTTAAAAACCCTTAAAATCCTCTACCTCAATACATGTGATACCTTTTTAAATAACTTAAACCGGTCAGTCTTCATCTGGAAATAGAAATAGGCGTCACAAGCTGTATTATGCGGTGTCGGGATAAAAGTTTAAAACCAGACCTTTATTTTATAAAAGTAATGTGTAGGTGAAATTTACCTTTCGTTATCAAGTACAGCACGTGGGTCATTCACTGTATAGACCTCTAAAGGAGCGGGAATCGATTATCAGGTCACCCAAAGAAAAACTTGACCCGAAATCTTAAAGGGTTACGTGTCCGGATAAGCAGATTTGACGTTCACATCCAAACGATCTTTGGGGTATCCTCTATGCCCGGAATAACTTTAAGATCTGGAAGTCAGGGGTGGCTTTGAATATATACCATGGAATTTGGGATTATTCTTCTGAAAGTTTTTCGTTAAACCTGTAACGGGTTATTCTTCAAGGGTATAAGGTTTTTCTTACTGGAATTCTGGGATGTTCTCATTTTACGTACATGTAAACATAGCCGGTTTATAAGCAAGATAAAGTCCTTGACTTCGGTTATGCTGGGGAAGGAAGACTTAAGATACGCCCACATTTTGAAAGAGATGGATAGAGAACGAGCTAAAAACAAAAGCGATTTTTCGTACAATCAGGGGCCATAATTCAGGATATGCGCGAATATTGACAGGAACCAAGATCTGTTGGTTATAAATATGTTTATTAAGTTTCATCAAAATGGGGTGAAAATTGTGACCTCTACAGTGTCCACAAGCTAAGAACGTGATTTTTCGTACAATCAGGGGAAATTAATCAATGCCAATAACGAGATCTTTGAGAGACAGACCAATATTTCAATCGGATAATAATTGTCAGTAGAGTATCCACAAACAAATTGTGGACGGACGGACACGGGCGACGGCATTAATACATCCACATGAAAATATGGACGTATAAAAAAAAAAGCTTGAAAGAAAGACCTTGGACTATCAGTCTCAGTTTTTCTTTTTCCCGAGTTATTTTCTTCAGTCTTTCTTTCCCCAGCATCTCAGTCTTGTGCTTTATCCTACACATTAACCATAACTTTTTTAAAATTTCGCTCTTAATCTAACTTGTTACCCCATTCTTGGCTAGAATACCTACGAAATTAAATTAATTTCCCCTGGAAATTGAAAGAAAATATCGGATATAAAATTAAGTAATCAAAATTGAGTAGGTTATTATTAATGTACTACTTAAAATTGAAGATTTACTGAAAAAAAGAAACACAATTTTTAGAATTTTGGAGATCAAATAACTATATTCAATGACGTCATTTTAATTGTTTTCAATCACGTCCGCGTTATGAGTATATAATATATAATGCTGTGGATATAATTTTTTATTTACATAAAACAATTTTACTGATAGCGTGAGTACATCTTAGCATTTTTGTTCTTTTTTGCTTTTTATTTTGTGTTATTTTTTCTTAATTTATGTTGTTATACCTCTCCGTTGAGTTCATATTTTAGTTGAATTCTAGTTGTGTATTATTTAGATTATCCGATATTTCGGCTTTTTCAAGTTAGAACTAAAAGGCGGCGCAAATCGCATCGTGATCATAGCTTTTATGTTAATTTATTCCTTGGATATTAAAGTGTACTCGAACCGATACGCGACAACATTCGCATATACATAGGCAGTTGAGCACGATTCTAGGCCTAATCTATAATTAAACAGGTGTTTGGCATAGATTAATAAATACCATAAAATATCTGTGTAATATAAAAAGAAGGTGTGTTTCTATTATTCTAATGATTATTTTATAACTTGAAAACGCGACTTCTGTGGATATACTGAAAGCGATAAATATCGCCATACAAATAATAACTTGGAATCTTTTGGTTTACGTCATTTATTTGTGACGTATACAATAATATGATGGCCGACGAAGAATTTTAAAGGCCGAATCCCTTGCCCTAGTTGACCAAAACCTAGCTCAGAAATATTAGATAGTCATTGTTATGGGAAGCGTTAAGATCAGACGCGGATTACCCTATAGACAAGCAACAAATTGACCCCAAAAGTTACAAATTTGATTCTATTTCTCTTCTTTGAAGAGATATGAATTTAGAAGTTCTATTGATTAAATTTTTATTTTAATTTTATACGTCTTGTCTCTGGGTATCACTTGGTTGTCGTAGACACACTGATATGGTAATTCCAGACTAAAGCCCGTTTGCGAGCGCGTCTTCGCCGGTTACATGTAACTTCCAATTAGTTAGATCGATTTTTTTTTTCGCCCGCGAAAACGCGTGTACACATGGTAAATGGCCTTTGCTTCCTAGATGTAGAAATACGCCTGATTTTGTAGTGCCAAGATCAGTGAATATTGAATGTTTCTTGGATTTATGACAAAATGTCAGAGCCACTGTGTGCTTTTAAATTCTTGACAATTAAATCCCCAACTCCTAACATAATATCGTTCCAGCATGGACCTTTACATAAAACCTTCATTAATGTTGTCACTAGGCATTGATTGATAAAATCTAATCCATTATTTCATTTTATCACGAAAGTTACGGTGGCTCAGTAAGTAGGACGTTGGCTAGTGAACCTCAAGAGATCCCATGTTCGATCCTGCATTTGCCGAGACAGCTAGTTCATCGGGATAAAGTTTCTCGTACCGGTACTGAAAAAACCCATGCAGATTTATTAGATAGCGATTTTTTTTTCTTCCACTACTGATACTGAAATACGTCTTGTAATGTAAAGAGATTTAATTACACTAAATAAATGCTTCCATTGCGGCTAAATCATGCATGCTTTAGGCCTACAAATGTAGTCTAAGGGAGATAACTAAGAAGAGAGTTCAGTTTGTGTTGGATTCGGACTAGTAATTCTCTCTAAATTGTTTTTAACATTCCGATGATTTTAATCTTTATAACTTCAAAGACTAAGAGCCCCACATCTTATAATAATCTGATAAAAATATCAGCTGCCCCCACCCCTTGGAGCATTGAGTGTAATATTGGTTGAATAACCATATAAATAAAGCTATAAAATGAAAAAATTGTTTGCAGCTGTCTAATTTTCATGCTCCACCCCTACTGGGCTAATAAAGAGTGGCATATGCCCCTAGTGTGGTATGAGGGAATTTTTGTCCGGACAGCGGCGTTATAGCCAACTCTTATTTCGAATTCCAACTGTTGAGGGTTCTTTTACATGCATGCCAATGTGTACACAGGACCTCGGTTTTTCATCCCATCCGAACAACCAACATTGTCCATTGGCAGGGCCACCGTCCTACACCACTGACAAGAGGGAACCACGTTGGATAATCCTGATGAACTTTCTCGGCAAACACAAGAATCGAACATGGGACCTGCAGGTTAGCGAGCCAACATCCTACCACTGAGCCACCGTGGCTCCCATGCACAGTAAGAAATCCAACCTCTACAAACGTGTAGGTGCCACACCCTCTGAAAGAGCAGTTTTAGTCTATATAATAGGATATGCTGATGGTTTTTTACAATTCTGTATATAGGAAAACAATCTGATTAAAACACAGATCCTATTTCGTTTCGTTTTTTATCGTTCAAAATTTCATTTTACTTGTCTTTACTACACTAGGATCTGGATAAGTTGTTATATTACCGGCATTTTGGTTGAAGTGATGGATAAACCAATAAAACGGTCTGTTACAGTGATTTCTTGGCGTGCCATGCACGGAACTGTGGGTAAACCACTAGAAACGTCAACACTGATTGATTAATCAATGTCTGACGCCATAGGGTCATAAGCCACTCGTAAGACCCCTGACACGACCTTCAAGTACAACTTGTCAGAATTTCATGTAATGTAGGCCATCAAAAGTATAAAAAAATTAAACTAAATTTAGATCTGTATTTTAATCAGGTTGATAGGAAAACAAATAAAAGAAGAAAAATATAAATTTATTTATAAAAGGATTTCATATAACAAAAAACAATAGAAAGATCCTATATATCATTGTATATATATATCATATAAAGGCATAGATATCAAAACATAATTCAAAAGATCACATACCATTTTCAAATCTTACATTCAAAGCAATTAGCTTTCAAAGAAATAAACAAAATGTATAAAAATTATATCATAAGATATTATTGAAGGCTTGATGCGTCAATTGCATTTTCACTAAAATGTCCAACTTATCACAGCTTAATCCACAATTAATATGTACTCAGATTAATTATTTAACGAAAACAAAACCAACACTAGGTAATCTCCCTTAACATAATCTACAAAAACTTGATTCATCAACATTAATTATAGCTGACTCTGAAATAATAACTCAAGATAAGGTTAAAAATCTTGGCGTCTTTTTAGACTCAAGTCTAACAATGGAAACACATGTCAACAATCTGTGCAAAATCTGTTACTTTCATCTAAAAAAAAATCTGAAACTAAAATTCAGCAAAAAATTTTCTGAAACTAAAATTCAGCAAAAAATTTTCTGAAACTAAAATTCAGCAAAATATTTTCTGAAACTAAAATTCAGCAAAATTGTCCTTATAAAATACAAAAGATAAAAAAAAAATGACGAAAGCTAATTTATAAGGACAATAAGCTGTTATATTAATAAAGTAGAAAGGTAAATATAATTCCAACAGGTAAATGAACAATCGAAACAGTGTAGATGTTCTTGAGCAATGAAAATGTTAGAATTTGAAATTTTATAATGATAACCCGTGTTAGTATCTTTTTATCTGACCATTCAACAACAAAAAAAACATCATACATAAATTCTGTCAAAATAAAATCCATTCTACGATCATGAGCAAGTTTTATGTTTAACTTAAAGATACATTATGGGAGATTTTTATAAGGAGTTAGCCATTCTTGCTATAATAGTTCAAAAATAGATGATGAAAGAAGAATATATTGAAAATTTCAGTCAAATTACTTTATTCTGGACATAGTTATCACCAGTGTAATTTTTGACTAGAAATGGGATTGAATTCCATCTTCACCGATTCTTAGTATGGCCGATCGTTTGATTGATAGGTGTTAACTCCACCTACATAATCTCTGCTGTCTTTTGTCTGCTGTCATCATATCCGAATTTGTGTTTTACCTTTTTGGATTTTTATAACAATTGGACAAAATGAGTGAGGGTAAATTTTCATTCTTACATGTATTTTGGGCATGCATTAAATCAATTGAATATAGGACATATATAATATTATAATATAATTATGATAAATCTATAGGTATACACCAGTGGCGTCGTGCCTATTGGGGAAATAAAAATATTTTTATTGATATTATTAAGACAGAAGACCTGTCCGTCTGTATTAGTCATCACACGGTGTCCAGGAATTGTATAATTTGTCATTATCTGTATTTAGTTTATTGCACTTTAAATAGTTTAGATGTCATTTGTTAAGGCATCGCTCAACAGCGGCCTCGCTTCGTACACTCTATCATTTAGCCTCGTAACGGTTAATCTCCGCTCACAACGCCATTTAAAATTAAATCAGTCAACGAAATCACGTTTAAATCCAAGCTGAATCCAAGCCATCCGTGGGTCTACAGAGTTGATTTTGTGCTTGTTGTGTAAATAAAGATCTAATTTATAATTTCTATGACATCTGAAGCCTAAATAAAGACTTGCAATAATCAGATTTAGCTCTTGCATAATGTATGTTTATCTATAAATACTACAAATTAATACCCATTAAAAGAACACATTTATTTCTACTACAAACTCTCGGATAAATCTCAAGAACATTATTTGGTTATATTATCTAAACTAAAGCATACTATATAATATAATTACTATCTTAAAATGGAGACTGTCAATAAATTCTATGATAAATCTACTTGATTTACGAATGACTGTAGTGCTGATGCCTGGGCTAAATGTCCCTCATAGCACATTACATGGTCTTTGTCTTCATTAGCCTAGTCGGTGCGCAACTGTAGGATGTTCAACTCAATTTCAATTCATTTCATTTATCAAGTCTGATTTTCATCCTATCTGAATGACTGAAATGAAATGAAGATGGGCATACACCATACTATAGCCTAGGGGCCTAATCTTATATCATATTCCAACTGTCAAGGGATCTTTTACGTGCATGCCAATGTGTACGTGGAGCCTCAGTTTTTCGTCCCATCCTAATGACTAGACAGCTGTCCTTGTCAGGCCCTCCGTCCTGCATCACTGACAAGGGAAAACCAGGTTGGAAAATCTGGACGTACTTTCTCAGCCAATGCAGGGATCGAACACGTGACCTCCAGCTAGCGAGCCAGCGTCTTACTCACTTTGCCACTGTGTGACCCGACCCCGCCCTGAATGACAAGGTACAATTTCATCGATAGTCTACACATCAGGACTCAGAACACACTAGTCGAAAATCCAATAAGAATCTTTATATATATGAACCAAATATTTTATTGTTGCAGCTGAAATAGTATTGACAGTCCCCAATTTCAGACATATTTAATAATCTATCACTTTATATTTTTGTTCCTGAAGAACAATCTATGATTATATTATTGTGGTCTGTATCCATTATCCATTAACGAGTAGCCTCCCTTGTACCACCATGTGTAATACATTCATCCCAATCTTCCCAAAATAAATCTTTCATTCGAATACAGTACTCCTGTAAATTGGGATATTTTTCTAAAAAAGAAAAAAATATGAATTATTTTATTTTTGTATCAAGGCAATATGAGTGCAAACAGAAAATTAGGAATGATACTTGTGAAGGTCAGATTTACCTGTCACAAACTAATCATGATCAGTGGGCTCCTGAATTACAAACTCATCAGTGGGCTTCCAAATTACAAACTAATCAGCCAATAAGCAGTTAAAACAGAAATACTGGTTCAATTAACCCTTGTAGTTTGTGGAAAATGATTTTTCAACGTTTTTACTTTAAAATTTTAAATTATTCCAGAAATGCTTTTACTTTGAATTCAGGCCCTGAGTTCACAAAGCATTTTCAGACTAAAGTTAAAAAATTACCAGCTTTCAATCACAGGAAACAGGGGGGTCCGGAGAAAACCCATAAGGTTGGACAGGTGTGACCCCACTCCTTGTCACGTACAACTGGGGATTTGAAACCACACCGGTTGACTCAATGACAGACTTTATAATACAGCATGCATGTGCTAACCATTCGACCATCCAAACCCCATTTAATATTTCAAGATATATAAACTATATTTACCTTTTATCCACGTTTCACACGGCTGTTGAGGACTGTGCCACAAAAATTGTGCTAACATACCAAATGCTGTACAATCTATTTCTGTAGGTTCACTTCCCATCATAAAATCTTTACTACCTAGAAATATATTTTAGTCTCTTAAAATGCAGATCTATATTTCATTTCATTTTTTTATACTTTCGACAATCTGATTAAAACACAGATCCTATTTCGTTTCGTTTTTTTAAAGTTCAAAATTTGGTTTTACTTTTCTTTACTACCTAGGATCTGGATGAGTTGTTATATAATCTGCTTTCTGGGTGGTGTGAGGGATTAGCCAATGAAACCATCAGTTATGGCGATTTCTTGGCGTGAGATGCACGGAACTGTGGGTAAACCACTAGAAACGTCAATGCTGATTGATTAATCAATGTCTGATATCATGGGGTAAAAAGTCATTCGTATGACCTCTGACCCGACCTTTTACTATAACCAGTCAGATCTTCATGAAGTGTAGGCCATCGAAAATGTTGAAAATTTCAGTGAAATTACTTTATTCTGAACGGAATTGTCACTGTTGGAAGTTTGGACTAGAAATAGGCTTCATATGTGTATGCACGGTCTATGAGAATTGCCGATCGTTTGATTGACAGACGATAACTCCACCCACATATTCTCAATTATCAAGTAACATGCTCAATGGCTGTGGTAGACTCGTTTGGCAGGCCTTTCATCACCAGTTTCCGGAAGTGACATCAGCGACTAACGGTAAACGTTAGCTTGGTCTGCCATTTATTGATTTAATTTTAAACGGACGACTGTTTAAATCCAAACTGTATCCAAGCTATCTGTGGGTCTACAAAGTTGATTTTGAGCTTGTTGTGTAAATAAATGTCTAATTAATAATTTCTATAACATCTGAAGCCTAAATAAAGACTTACAATATAGGCAGATTTAGCTCTTGCATAAGAATAAGAATATGTCGTCACCGTTTGACATGAATATGTCTAACCTCGTTTTTCGAGTCGCTTGTTACAAATTGCGCTGAAACGCATAATGGTACACGATTCGTGTACCAATCGTAAAATGTTTATTTTGTCTTAAATATTGGATATCAGAAGCCCATCTTCTTCCGGTAAGATCACAACACCAATGTTGATGAGAATTGACAAATAATTAGTGTTTTCATTGCCGAAGGTTTTGGATGATATGGAGTTAGAGACTTCGCTACTTTAAGCTAAACTAAATGACTTGATACAAAATGATTTGAAAAATATAAATATATAGTGATCAATACTCACTTAGAAAATCAGACAAGGCTTTCATGTCATCGTCAAAAATCTGTTCAACTTCTGATTGGGTGTGTCTACCAACACCAGCTGCCCAGGCATTCTTGACAGTATTTCGTTTAATAAGTATAGGTATATATATTCGCCATCCGAAACCCATCCAACGGTTATCTGTATAACCATAAACATATCTAGACAGCGCAAAACACCTAAGTACATAAGTAGAAATATTTGAAATGAAATGCGGTTTAACGTCCTACTGTTCTGCAACAGCCTATTCTAATATCGAATTGCAGCTATCAAGGGATCTTTTACGTGCACACCAATGTATGATGTTAAACCCTGTCATAGACATTATAGGCGGCCATCTTTGCTGGGTGTGTGTGCCAATCTGATTAAAATACAGATCTATATTTCGTTTCGTTTTTTATACTTTCGATGGCCTACACTACATGAAGATCTGACCGGTTGTACCAATCGGCATTTATGTTACTAATGGATTACCCACAGTTCCGTGTAAAACATGCCTAAAGCTCGCCATAACAGACCGTTTCATTGGCTAATAGCTCACATCATTCAGAACACGTCAATGATAACAACTCTTCCAGACCCTAGTGTAGTAAAGACAAGTAAAACGAAATTTTGAACTATAAAAACGAAATGAAATAGGATCTGTGTTTTAATCAGATTGGTGTGTGGGGGGGGGGGGGAGGGGGGCTCATTCTATAATGATTGAGCCCGAAAAACGGAAATACATTGCCTGAAAAATGGGGACGGTCCACTGAATCGGGGGGGGGGGGGGGATGAGGGCATATTCATTTTTTTCATAGAATGTCTCCCTTGTAAGCTTTTATTGATTTTGACTTAAAGGAGCTAAATTGCTAATTTTTGAGACCTACAAATTGACACAAATGGGTCGCAGCACATCTTATAATGTGAGAGAGAGAATGAGGTTTAACGTCCACTTAACACAATATAGGTCATTTCACGATTAACATATGGTTCAATTTTCTTTCAATAATTCTATTGTGTGTAGGGGTCTTTAGCAGTGGGAGGAAACCAGAGGACAGGGAGAAAACCCACGAGGCTGGACAGGCATGCCTACTCATTGTCACGCACAAGTGGGGAATTGACCAAATAACAGACCTTCTGATACAACATGCACCCGTTTACCATTCGCCCGCCCCCTCCCCCCCAATGAGTTTTACAGTAATGATGGATGTTGACATTATTGTACATGAGATAAACCACCCAGTAACACTCTCATAGTAAGTAAATTTTATACATAAAAGGACTGTCCTTACCAAAAAAGGTTTTCTTCTATTAATTTTTGAAAGGCTCTGGATATAGCTCGTTCTTTTTCTGTTAAATCTCTGTCAACATCGATGTCTAACTTCTTGTTAAAATATTGGATGATGAAAGAAGAATCGTTGACAACTTCTCCATTATATTCAATCCATGGTATCTTGCCTTTAGATGACAGCTCAATATCTTTATCACTCTAAAATCAAAATAATCAATCTATAATGAAATGGAATGGGATTTAAGGTCCTACTTTTCGGAGGGGGGGACGGATGGCCAAATGGTTAGCTCATGCGCGTTGTATCATAAGGTCCATCATTTAGTCAACTGGCATGGTTTCGATTCCCCAGTTGTACGTGACAAGGAGTTGGGTCACCTGTCCAAACTCGTGGGTTTTATCCAGGTCCTCTTCCCATGGCTAAAGATCCCTATGCACAATCGAATTATTGAAATAAAATTGAACCATGTTAGTCCCAAAATGACCCAGTTTGTGTTGAGTGGATGTTAAACCCCATTTCTCTCTCCCTACTCCTCCGACTGGGCTAATGAAAACAGTGTGCTATTAGGCAAATATGCCCGGACAGTGGCGTTACAGCCTATTCTTATATCGAATTCCAACTGTCAAGGGTTCTTTTACGTGCACATCAATGGGTACATTGGACCTTGATTTTTCGGCTCATCCAAACCAATAAACATGTACACTGTCATTGAGTCAAGTGGCGTGGTTTCAACTCCTCTCTTATACGTGACAAGGAGTACGGTCGCTTGTCCAACCTCGTGGGATTTCTCCTTGTCCTCTAGTTTCCTCCCACTGTTGAAGACCCCCTACACGCAAGCGAATTATTGAACCATGTGTTACACCTGAAATTACCTACTAGTAGTTTGTGTTGAACGAACAATAAAACCCATTCCTCTTGGAAATTACCTGATATAGTATTCTGTTCATCCTCAAGTAAGTTTCAACTTTCAGACAAAATGGAGATACACTTGGACAGTAGGGTCCTCTCCTACAACCATGAACAATCACAACATCCTTAGGGATAACTTTTTTTCTTCTGAAACGCAAAATAAAATTATTTCCTGAAACTAAATTTACTGTTTTTACTTGTTCAAATACTCTGTAGTCATTGTCGTTACAGGTATTCATATATTTTTTGAATTATTATTCAAATATATCAAGTCATATTCAAGTATTCTTGAGTCATTACTGGTATTCAAATATTCTTGAGTCATTACTTGTATTCAAATATTCTCGAGTCATGAATGGTATTCAAGCATTCTCGAGTCATTACAAGTATTCAAACATTCTCGAGTCATTACCGGTACTCAAACATTCTTGAGTCATTACCGGTATTCAAACATTCTCCAGTCATTACCGCCTTACTTGTATTCAAATATTCTTGAGTCATTACTGGTATTCAAGCATTCTCGAGTCATTACACAAGTATTCAAACATTCTCGAGTCATTACCAGTATTCAAATATTCTTGAGTCATTACCGGTATTCAAACATTTTCCAGTCATTACCGCCTTACTGGTATTCAAACATTCTCTAGTCATTACCAGTATTCAAATATTCTCGAGTTATTACCGGTATTCAAATATTCTCGAGTCTTCACTGGTACCGTATTCCAATATTCTTGAGTCATTACCGGTTTTCAAATATTATTGAGTCATTACCGGTATTCAAATATTCTTGAGTCATTACCAGTATTCAAATATTCTTGAGGCATTGCCGGTATTCAAACATTCTCCAGTCATTACCGCCTTACTGGTATTCAAACATTCTCCAGTCATTATATACCGGTATTCAAATATTCTCGAGTTATTACCGCTATTCAAATATTCTTGAGTCATTATTACTGGTACAGTATTCCAATATTCTTGAGTCATTACCGGTATTCAAATATTCTCGTGTCATTACTGGTATTCAAATATTCTCAAGTCATTACCGGTATTCAAATATTCTCAAGTCATTACCGGTATTCAAATATTCTTGAGTCATTACCGGTATTCAAACATTCTCCAGTCATTACCGGTATTCAAATATTCTCAAGTGAATAACTGTAGACAATGGTATTCATATGCTCCGATTCCACCGTTGAAATAATTAGTGCGTGCCCCAGTGGCACTTTTTGTTAGGGGCTGGCCACAAGCTTAAAATCTGTCCCTGATTGTTAGGCCTACCCTACTACTATCTGCAGTCTTGGCCTACATGATTGGGGCATTACTATATCGAATTAAACCTAATAAGTAGGGCCTATTAAATTCAAGGGGGGTTGGATAGCCAAATGACGTGTCGCTGCATCATAAGGTCTGTCATTAAGTCAACTGGCGTGGTTTTAATTCCCCGGTTGTACGTGACAAGGGGTAGGGTCACCTGTCCAACCTCGTGGGTTTGCTTCGGATCCTCCGGTTTCCTCCCAGTCCCACTGCTAAAGACCCCTACGTGCAAGCGAATGAGTGAAATAAAATTGAATCATGTGTTAGTCCAGAAATGATCTTGTTTGTGTCAAATGGCCGTTAAATTACATTTCTCTCTATAGTATAAAATTCAAAAGATAGAATTTGTCTCCGCAATTAAATATAAATGATTCAAATGGAACTTAATTGCTCCTCAAAAGTTTGTTGTTAGTTAGCCCGCAGGTAGACTCCATCTAAATATTTATAAATCCGATGAATTTGTTATATTCATTTGAAAATTATTCTTTCATTGTCAACGAAACCCATAATAATTCCTGCGTTTGACCGAATCGTGTGTCGTCTGCATAATATTGAGTTATTTCCCCTTAACATTAATTTAAGGCCAGGGTATAAAAATGCTTTACCTGTTTCCAGTTATTTTCTTATACAGGCCATACGTTAGTGCTGAAGCTGCTAGGACTCCCCCAGCAATTGCTAAATAGTTAATTGGATCATGAGAATGAATCAATTCTTTGACTTCTTCCAAAGAATACTTCATTTTAGCAACCGTGTTTGTTCACTGTGTGTTACATTACATTACAAGCGGATTATTTCCTATTTGACCTTGATGAAACCTGTAAACTTGTCACCTATGTGGGCGGAAGACTTGACAAACACGTGACGTAAACCCGAACCGAATTGAATCATGCATCATTTGGAAGAGAGAGAGAGAGAGAGAAATGGGGTTTAACGTCCACTCGACACAAACTAGGTCATTTCGGGACTAACATATGGTTTAATTTTATTTACATAATTCGCTTGCGCGTAGGGGTCTTTAGCAGTGGGAGGAAACCCATTTGGAAGAGACTTATTATTGCAAGTCTTAATTTAGGCTCCAGATGTTATAGAAATTATAAATTAGATCTTTATTTAAACAACAAGACCAAAATCAACTCTGTAGACCCACGGATGGCTCGGCTACAGCTCGGATTTAAATAGGATTTCACTAATCGATTAAATCAAATAAGGGGTAACCTGATGAAAATACGCCAGTTAGATCGAGGCTAAATGATAGAGTGTACTTAGCGAAAACTTTACTTGATAATCGAGATATGTAGGTGGAGTTAACGCCTGTCAATCAAACGATCAGCGAAGGTGAAGACACAATTCGCTACCATTTCTAGGCAAATATTACAACGATGATAACTATGTTCAGAATAAAGTAATTTGACTGAATTTTTCAATATATTCTTCTTTCATCATCTACTTTTGAACTGTTATAGCAAGAATGGCCAAATCTCCCATAATGTATCTTTAACTTTTCGAATCTGGACTATAAAGGCCACTTAAAAAAAAATTAGTTGATCATCGTCGTTTTTTTTCAAAAATGTGGGAGGGAGGGTTTTTTTGTTTGTTTTTCTTAAATGAATATATTGAAAACACAATACTTCAGGAATAAAGCTTTTATTATTTTGCATTCAATCTTCATATAAAACTGTAGGCCTAGTTTGCGAGGAATTCAAATCCTTCTTTTTTCTCGTTTTGGAATGGCTTTTTTTCGAACCAGCACATTCCTGACACTGGGGGTGGTAACCCGCTTTCTGAATTAAACTGTCTTCTCCACCACACACAATGAATACAAATGAATTCATATCCTGCCGAGTAATAAGAATATTCAAAATGAAATGAAATGGAGTTTAACGTCCTACTTTTCTGCTCCTAACCTGGGCTAATGAAGACGGGCATACGCCATACAGTGTGCTATGAGGAAAATTTTGCCCGGACAGCGGCACTACGGCCTACTCTTATATCGAATTCCAACTGCCAAGGGATCTTTTACGTGCACGCCTCGGTTTTTCGTCCCATCCGAACGACTAGACAGCTTTTCTTGTCAGCCCCTCCGTCTTGCATCACTGACAAGGGAGAACCACGCCGGAAAATCTGGATGAACTTTCTCGGCCAATGCAGGGATCGAACACCCGACCTCCAGGCCAGCGAGCTAGCGTCTACCCACTTAGCCACGTGATCATATCTGACGTACATGCTAAATCGGCCCTAACAGCTTAGTTGGATAACATTATTGTCCTCGTCGCCATCAACAGCAGGTACTACCACAGCTGTATAGCAACGTTTCCAAAAGAGCCTCAAGTTCATCACGCTGTTTCTTTGGTAACTCCAACCTCGTGGGTTTTCTCCGGGGCCTCCGGTTTCCTCCCACTGCTAAAGACCCCTACGCGCAAGCGAATTATGTAAATAAAATTAAAACATATGTTAGTCCCGAAATGACCTAGTTTGTGTCGAGTGGACGTTAAACCCCATTTCTCTCTCTCTCTCTCTCTCTCTTTGGTAACTTTGTCTGTGAGTGGGGACAACGCCATTTTCCGCAGTCCTGACACTGAATGGGTGTTCCAACATTCTTGGCAGTTTGGGATGTTGGATTGAAGGGACATTTATGTCCTTTCTCTAGCTATAGCAGAACTGGCCGAAGGAAGGTACTGTTCTGTCGTTTCTAACTAGAAAATCCTAAACAAAAAGGTTTTTGAATAGACTTTAGCACCACACTAATACATGATTGCGAATTAAAATGAAGGTTAAACATTTTAATTACGGTACATGATTAGAACATCACTGTTTTATCTTTTGTGGGGTTAGAAAACGAATTCACCAACTGAAATTTCATTTGAGCAGACTTAAAATAACTGCCAGAAAATTTGTGAGTTCAGCTTGATTTTGAAATTTCCATTTTTGTGATACTCTCACTGCAATGCACATTCCTTGTTCATTTTCCCGATTCATTTAATTTGTTAAACATTGAAATCATACCTTTCCATACAATTCATCAAATTGTTCGATCTGCTACCATCTGGTGAAGGGTCAGGTAAGTGGCGAATCTCCATGGAACAGCATGGAAGACATCTGGTGGCAAAAGAGGAACTTTACAAATAGAGCAGCTAAGTTCATTACATTTCAGAATGCTGAACATGTACTGACGTACTTTACAGTGACTCTCAAGACAGGCCTTGAATTTGTCTTTGCCTCTTATGTGTTGCTTGGTGCGATCGTTAACACTCAATAAATCATCAATCTGAAATGAAAAAGATAATACAGTCTGTTATTTTCAAAACACGAAACAAGCAAGTGAATATTTAAGACTTATTTCGCCGAACATAACTGATTTGAAATTGGAGTAAAAACGGAAACCATTAAATGTAAATCAGTTTATATACATTCATATTACAGTATTATATGCGTTGCGACCCACTTTTGTGAATTTCTAGGTCCCAAATGTTAGCGATTTAGCTCCTTTAAGGACACTCATAATTCTCTCAACTGGATTTTTCCAGCTGTGTTGTGGTGGCGTTGGGACAGCACATAGAAAGTCCAAATCCAAGTCCAAGAAGATAGCTAAAAGTGACATTTGGACTGAGAGATATGTGAGACGGTGATCTGGTCCACCATCAGTGTACATAGTCATAGACAGAATGGGCTTAACCGGTCCGATTTGAGTTAACAGTTGCTTCAGTTCAGTCATTCATATGACGGATAGGCGATAATGGCTGGAAAGCATTTTCTTTGAAAACTACAAATACTCTGCCCCTGTGGAAACTTTCTTCAATTGTTTCTGGGACGTCAATCACCAGAGACACACTAGTGGTGAGGCTCAGACGGGTGAATTCATGACCAGACACAACAAATTTCTTTCCCATGGTCACTATGACACCTTTTCCCCTTTCAACCGAAGCAACTGTACAGCCAGGTTCTCCTTTCTTGATAGTGTGTTTATCATCGAAACTTACAAATGATACATGGTCCCTGAATTTCATCGCCAATTCTATTTCATATCTGAAAAGAGCCGATGCATAGTGGGCATCTAAATGGTGTGCTAGGAACTAGCGTGCTTGAATCATGAACTTTACCTTTAGATTTCCAGTGTAGTGGCTTGCAGTTTTTGCTAATGGCAGTCGTGGCCAAAATTGTAACCTTAGCAACTGGATACAAGAAACTGGCGTACCGTCGGGACACGTTTTAGAGACTTCATCATGTAAATCACGGACACTTAATGCAGTAGCAAGGTGAGTGATGACATCATCATCCTGGACCATATCATGTCGCCTTTGGGATACAAACATGCATGTCAAGTTTAATCAAAATCGGATCACAACCTTAATATACAAGATGTTTACACTATTTACGTACGAGGGGCGGCCATTTTGTCCGACAGTTTTAGTTCGATTTTCACGAAATTGAAACTTAACCAAATTTACGGTGTAACGGTGATATATTCGAACGTTTTTTTTTAAATCCGATAATAATTGTAACCTTCACTTGATTTGATATTTGTCTATTTTCTGTCTTGTCCGCAGGTTTATCTTGTAGATTTGTGTTTTGCGTGTAGTGCGGTCCTCCTACACTTATTGTTAAAGGGGTCACATGCCAATATCGAGATCTTTGGAAGATAGACCAATATTTCAAGTTTCATCAAAATTGGATAAAAGTTGTAACCAGTAGAGTGTCCACAAACAAATTGTGGACGCACGGATCGACGTCCGAACGGACAGTGGCGACGGCATAATATGTCCACATCAAAATGTGGGCGTATAAAAAAAACCTTAAAAGAAAGACCTTGGCCTATCCGTCTCGCTTTTTCTTTTTCCGGAGTTATTTTCTTCAGTCTTTCTTTTCCCAGAATCTCAGTCTCGTGCTTTATCCTACACATTAACCATAACTTTTTTAAAATTTCGCTCTTAATCTAATTTGTTACCCCATTCTTGGCTAGAATACCTACAAAATTAAATTAATTTCCCCTGCAAATTGAAAGAAAATATGGGATATAAAATTAAGTAATTAAAATTGAGTAGGTTATTATTAATGTACTACTTAAAATTGAAGATTTACTGAAAAAAAGAAACACAATTTTTAGAATTTTGTAGATCAAATAACTGTATTCAATGACGTCATTTTAATTGTTTTCAATCACGTCCGCGTTATAAGTATATAGTATAATGCTGTGGTTATAATTTTTCATTTTCATAAAAAAAAGTTTACTGATAGCGTGAGTACATCTTAGCATTGTTCTTTTTGCTTTTTATTTTGTGTTATTTTTTCTTAATTTATGTCCTTATATCTCTACGTTGATTTCATATTTTAGTTGAATTCTAGTGTATTATTTGGATTATGCGATATTTCGGCATTTTCATGTAAAAACTAAATGGCGGCGCAAATCGCATCGTGATCATAACTTTTTTGTTAATTTAATCCTTTGAGACTGTGAGAGGATATCTGACAATTCAAAACAGAAATTGACTGTCAAAAAATATAGAAAAGGTCCGTGCATTACCATGTTTTTATTAAGTATATTATATAGAATAAATAAAAACAAGTAGATGTACGGACTATTTCTATTTTTCTCGTGTTCTCTTATCTAGTGACATTCAATTTCTTTTTTGAATTGTCAAATATTCTCCTAGAGTCTCACATAACAACTTTTGGTCGTCGAAGAAATTATTACTGAGCAGAAATTCGCTCGTGTATCTGTTATCACTCGTAACTTCAGTCAGTCATATTATAGAAGGGTAGCACGTGTTTTCCTTTTGTGTTCGTCACTTCCTTTTGTAGAAACCTTCATTACGCACCTATCGTAGCATATTGATCTCTGTGTTTAAATTGTATTGGGAACGTGTTTAACGAATTCTATCACATATGTGATAATGACTGACAC